GACCCTTCTTCAGAAAATCTGAAGAAGGGTCTAGGCCCGAAACGTCAGCCTTCCTGCTCCTCTGATGCGGCTTGGCCTGCTGTGTTCATCCAGCTCCACACCTTGTTATTTCAGGTATGGACCCTTCTTCTGAAGGTCCAGACCCGAAACGTCAGCTTTCCTACTCCTGTGATGCTGCCTAGCCTGCTGTGTTCATCCAGCTCTAAATCTTGTTATCTCATACTCCAGCATCGGCAGTTCCTACTATCCCCAATTTAATCTGATCTTGGAAGCTAAACAGACTCAGGCCTGTTTCATACTTGGATGGGGGACTGTCTGGGAATTCCAAGAGTCTTATAAAGAGACAGTTCGTGTCAAATGGCATTGTTACTAACTATGGATCAGAAGTTGTGGGTTAAAGTACTACCTAAGGATGTGACAGCAATGTACTTGAAGAATAAAATATTCAAACAGGTTGACTAAAAACATCTTTTTAACTTGTTCAGGTGTTTAACAATTTGGCCTATCAAGTCCATATCAGTTCTCCATACAGCAATCCAGTCAGTTTCACTCCCTCGTTCTTTGTGAAATCACTGATTTTTCCACTCATTGGAGGTAGTTCAGAGAGGGTTCATGAAGATATTCCCTGGTATGGAGGAATTGTCTTATGAGTAAAGACTGAACAGGTTGGGACTCTACTCACTGGAGTTTAGAAGAATAAGAGGTGATCTCATTCAAACTTACAGGATTCTTAAGATGTTTGACAGGATAAATGAGAGGCTGTTTCCCCTCATAGGAGAGTGTAGTACCAGAGGGTATTAGTCTCAAAATAAAAGGGTTGCCAATTTAACACTGAGATGAGGAGGAATGTGTTTTTTGAGAAGGTTGTGAATCTTTGGAACTCTACCACAGAGAGCTATGGGGGCAGAGTTCTTGTGCATATTTAAGGCTGAGAAAGATAGATTCTGGATTAGTAAGTGAATGAAGGGTCACAGGGAAAGGGCAGGAAAGCAGACATGTGGAGTGCCTGATCAGCCATGCTTCTATTGAATGATGGAGCAGGCCTTATTCTTATTTCTTATGGTCTTATGACCTTCCTAGATAGTAAGTTCCAGGTCATTACCACTTGCTGAGTCAAAATGCTCTTCGACATATTCATTGTGCATCAGTTCCCCAAAACCTTATTAGTCTCCCATATTCCTTGCAATTTCTTGTCCCCGACTTTGCGAATGGGAAGATAATTCTCTCATTACCTTATTCAACCTGTCATAACCTTGTATACTTCTATCAAATCTCCCCTTAATCTCATTTGCTCCAAGAACAACCACCCCAGATTTTTGAGCCTACGTAAAATTGCACATCCATGTAAACTGAAATACCATATCCATGTTCCAGAAAATCTTTTCAGTACTTTCTCAAGTAACCTCAAATTCTTCCCAAAGTATGGTTAGAGAACTGGATGTAACACTCCAGCTGGGGCCTAACCAGTGTTTTATATAGGTTCAACAGCAATTCCCTGCTTTTGCACTCCATCCCTCAATTTATGAAGCCCAAGATCCCAAATGCTTTGCTAACCATTCCCCCAAAATGTGCTGCCACTTCCAAACATCGATGAACATGTACCCTAGATTCCTCTGCTCCTGCATATTCTTCACCTGACGTAGGGGCAGCCCTCCGAAAGCTCGTGATTTCAAATAAACCTGTTGAACTAGTGTCATGTGACTTTTGACCTTGTCCACCCCAGTCCAACACTGGCACCTCCACATCCTTCCATATTCTTTACAGCTGTGCTATTTACTGTACATTACTTCTACCTTTTGCAAAAATGCATTACTTCATATATCTAAGTTGCTACTTAGATGCCCATTCTACTAGAAACTTTGGAACAATATTAAGACCTCTGTATTGTTGCGACAGTGTATTCACATGCTAAATGTAATTATTTAAATAGATGTTTATGCTGCAATGTAATAATTCACTAGAAGTTATACAATAGCATGTGATTCAGTTCTCTTGTACAGATCATTTCGCTCTGGATTCAACTTTTATGTCTGTCTTTAGCTTAACTTGTATTTATCTAGAAAGAGATGATGCAGCATGGCAACAGTGATCGTAAGTTGATAGCAGTTGAAGATGGCAACTGAAGCCAGAAACCCTGCTTGAAGTGCTGCTACTGGATCATAACTCTGCACAGCAATAGTGAGAGCAAAGATTGAAGACGATTTTGATGTATTCCCAGCTTTGTCTTGAGATGGAAAGGCAAAAACATTCAACAGCAGCAGAAATCAGTGGACCACTGCACTTTAGTGCAGATTCTTTCTGGCTGTCATTGCACTTGCATGGTATTTGACAACCTCAACATCAAAGCCCATTCCATCTGCAAGATCAAAGTTTGCTAGCAAAAATGCAACAGTGGGGTGGCTCATGGTCAGCCATGTGGAAATCATAGCATACTGTGACCTGTAGCAAATTTCACACCATGGGGTTAGAAAAGAGTAAGAAACTTAGAATGTTGCAGCCAGGTTTTGGGAGATGGACTAGAAAGCATGTGATATCTCAGATTACTTCAAACTATTTAGGTTTAAAATTCATTAATTCTACAAAGACTATATGGTTGTGGATGCAGAGAAACTGGCTATAAAAATTACTAATGAGACAGGAAACAAAGATCTGCACAGAATCAATAATTCTGGTTTATCTGATACTAACTAGAAGGATCTAGCAAAGCCCTGGGCAGCATTAGAAAATCAGCCTGGAATTAAAACCAATTTCTGAGCATACTGCCTGCAATTTGTGGTATAGACAGAAAACTAATGACAGCTTGCATGATGTATGATGTCTCTGATGCTACACCTGAAATGAATAATCAAGTTGGATATTGCCTCCACTATTATGAGGCATTCTAGAAATACATCCAGGAAATGTCAAAGGGAAAACTCAAAGTGATATGTTGCAGACAGCGTTCTATAGGATGGATGAAATTATGAGGCAATTGTGGTTGTTAGATATGGTTTGCAAGCCTTAGGGTCTCGATCATCCATTGGCACCCAAACAAAGCAAGTGGTGCAGCAACTGCAACCTTCTCCAGAGAGGTGCAAATGCAGACATGGGTCCAGAGGAAAACTGGGGACCAATTATCAATGACAAAAGCCACCTGCCTGCCATATGATAGGCTCCCAGATGGCTGAACAGCTTGATGGTATAAAAGCCACTGGATCTCTCTATGGTAAGGTTTTGTTCTGCAGTGAAAAAGCTATCGTTTCTGAAGACAGCCAATATATTTATCCTCATCAGTTACTGTAAGCTGTCTATTTTTAACTAGGAAGTCAGAGACTTTTTAAGTATGAACCAGCTCCCTGTAAAAAGTGAAAGTACCTAAAGAAGGAAAATCAAGAACCAGTGTTCTGACAGGCAAGCAAGAGAAAAACTGCAGTAAACTCTGTGGAGAGGAACCATTGAACTGCCCTCCCAATCTTTCCCTCCATTTATTTTGCAGGCATGCGTGCAAAGAGCATGAGCTTATAAGTGGGTTAGAGTTTTAATAAGTAGAATTAAATGCCAACTGTTATTAATTGTATGCCTTTAGTTATTTTTTTCTAAAGAAGTAATTCTTGTTAATTATATCAACATTGATCATCTTTCTGTCAAGCTGGATGTAAAAAGTCAGGTAAATTGGGGAATTCTGTGTACTTTTAAAAAAAAAACAACTTTTGTGATGACTCCAAGGATGGCAAGGCTTGACTTCCAGCTCCCTACCCCT